CTAACATCCTTAAGCACTACCTTGCTTGCATAGGTTTTTCATCTTAAAAGCACTTTTTTTTAAATTTTGTTAATAGTGGCTAGCACCGGAATCCAGGATGTGCGTTTTGTCCCAGCTGGAGACGACATGTCAACAGAGACCGAGTTTCGTTCGGTGAAGATCAGCCATTGGAAAACAGCAAAAAAACGTAAGCGGGAAGCAAACTATTATCTGCAGATTAGTAATGACTAAGTATTGAAGACTATTCGAAGTTTGATTATTGTGTTTAGTGATGATATTCATTAGTTCGAGCAAACATTGACGATTTCTGGGGCTGGCCAAGTGGTTCCTTGTTTTGTTATCACATAGAATGTATGACATAATAAGTGCATTGTGTTTTAATGATATCTATTCACAGGAAATATACAAAACTTATTCAAAGGTCAACTAGTCGCCAATTAGTTCGAATGTGTAACGGGCTATGTGGAGAAAAGTAATGACTTGTCAAAAACTAGAATAAACACTTATTCAAGATTTAATCATTTTCAGTATTTAACTTCACAGTGACTAAAATTTAACAAAAACTTCTAAAAGGTGGAAAAAGTAATTTCAAACCACTTTTGACTCAAAATTTATGGAATTTATTTCAGATTATTCGCTTAAAAATCAAAAATTTAAGTGATTAGTGTCCTTTTTGAAAGGTAATTTTATTAACCAATCAAAAATCTCCATTGAGCGAATATTCGCTCTGTCATCCCTTTTTGACATTAAAATGCTTCTGATTGGTGTTTTTCCTGTAGATGTGATGCTGATATGGTAACAGAGATAAGCGATGTATTTTTCTCTTACAAACAATAAATATTCTGTCTACTTTTCTAATAGTTATAGGAATATGAATGCCGCCATTCCTCAACTGTGATTGGCTGAAAGTGAAAATATCACACTTAAGGATGACAAAAACGAGACGAAATCAGTGTACATTAGTGTTTTTGCACTTCCTACCAGAATAAAGTGGAAATTTGATAAAACATTTTTGTTCAAAAAAGAGAAAAGAAAAGATACTCATTGTTTACTGGAATTCGTTTAATCAAATTAACATATGAATTTACAAATAGTGGTGAGTTAAATTAACTTGAACTTACTTACGCTTTCGCATGTATATCTTAATTATGATTACTTGACCGTTCTGCTGTCTTTATCCCCTATGTATTTCGAAAAAGATGTTTTTACATGAAAGTGCATGGCATAGTTGTAACGTTTTATCAGTCGATGCAGCTATGACATCATTCAAAACTTTAGCACTTACTTTCCGAATCAGAGGCCTCCAAGTTACCATTAGGGAGTCTTTAGCTCAGCTTGTAGAGTGTCAGATTTTCATGTCACCTCCACTCATCATCTAATGCATTGGTAACAGTCCAATGACCACAGATTATCTCAAAATGTCTTACTATCAATTACCTAGAATGATATGACTGATCGAATTCAGTCTGCAACAAACAAAGGATTAGACGCCTGTGTCCATTAAAGTCCTATGGAAGGCCAACTGCAAGCCAGAATAGCCCATTGGTAAGGTGTCTGACTGCAGCACTGGGTGACTCGGGTTCGAATCTCAAAAAGGACATAAGTTCCTTCAAGATTGTAGATATGCCATGCTGACGAGTGACAACAGGCACAAAACCTAGATCCAAGGCTTCCTGCCAATTACCTCCAACTATCTGAAAACAATTTTCAGTAATTCGTTTGACTTTCAGAATAAATTTCATCATCAGTTAGAGAATCACAGAAAGCCATTGAGTATTGGGCAGCTGCTTCGTCCTAGTTTGAGTCTGTTCATCGATTCGTACCCATGACTCTATAACTGATCTCGATTCGTGAAAAAAAATCCATATTGAAATCAATCAACTCCCTAGAAAAAACCGAAATGTGAATTTATTTTTTGGTTGTCAGTAATACTGTCAGTCAGCAAACTCACAGTAAACTGTTAATTTAGCGTCACAGAGGCATCAAAACATTTCTTCCAAAGTACTAAGTACTTTATTCTTAAAGTGATAATTTTATTCTACAAGGTAAAATATCTGTGTATCCATTTTGGGAAGCTGAATAATTCTGTAGTAATTTTTCTATTATTTGGCATGATAAAATTATCAGTCCAAATAGGAAAACATCCTACCGTTTTGTTTTGGTATTATTTGCTTTTACTAGTTAGCTGGCTGATAGTTGCAAGCCTTAACTCCCTGCCTTCCGGTTGGTTTTCATAAGTAATAATGCGCTTGAAGCTATTATTACTATTGTTCCCTTGGGTTCCTAGTGGAACATAGAGCTTCAACTGCACCTCGCCACTTGCCTCTGTCTTCTGCTGTACTTTTCACCTGCATCCATGTTAGTCCATACTGTTTCAACTCCTCTTCACACGATCTCCTCCATGTCACTCTTGGACGTCCTACTCGCCGCTTCCCTTTCGGGTTCCACTCGAGCACTGGCCTGACGCGCGATGTCACCCAACGGCCTCCTCAGCGAGTGTCCAATCCATTTCCACTTTCTCCTGCATATTTGTTGGGCGATTGGTTCTTGTTTTGTTTGTTCCCATAGTTTCTTGTTAGTTCTTGTTCTTTCCGGCCATCTGATCTTGAGTATAGTATGGGAGAACTTATCTTTCAATTTAAACTCTAACTATTTATCCTTGAAGTTAATGAACTTACCACTGAGCTATTCATTCTAAAACTGGGTTAAATATCAGAACAGACTGAGGAATAGTAGTTAGTTTAGACAACTTTTCGTCAGTTAGTGGAATTATACAGATGTAATGGTTTCTGTTTGTCGATTTACCCTTATAAATATAAACGCTTGGAGCTGAGTAACTGAACAAATAAAACTGCACACTACACTTCTATTTCATTCTTATTCTTATAAAAACTAAGAAACTTCAATGATATATGAAACTATAGTAAAACTTAAACTACTCCCATTTTAGAGCGTGGGTAAAGATCATTAGGTTTACAGAAATTAAACATTTTGTGGGGTTAATTTTAGAGTCACTTGAACGCATTAAAACTTAATTTGAAAATACTCAGTATTACACTCAAACCTTCAATAGGAGTGAAGCAAACGCGTTTAATTAGTATTGCAAAATCAATAAGAATTCTATAAGTAACCACAATCCTATTTTACTAAGCCTTCTTTTATTTATTATTAGTCAATTCAATAAGTAAGTAGACTGGTAATGTTTCAGGTGTCGGTTTATTAGTAACTGACTTCAAGATGAACTCCCTAGAGTTCTAGTGAGAAGTGGTGACTGGTGTGGTCCATTAAGTCGGCTTGGAAAATAGATGCTCATGGATAGCAAGCACTGACTGGTGTTGGTAATGGTTATCGGAATTCGGCGGCAGTTAGAATTCATAGGTTATTGAATTCCATCTCGACGGCTAAATCATCAATTGACTGGCCTCGTAACCTGGGGATCCTGAATGCGTTGTACTGAAGTGTCCCAAACTAGGATGAAGAAGCTACCAAGTATTCCCTGGTTTTCAATAGCAGTCAGTGTTTAGTCAGTAATACTTTTTAAAAACAGATAAGTTACCTCTCTTGTCTAGTATTCCAGGAAAAAACATATTAAAAGATGACTAACGCAGTCTAAATAAGAGCATATATTTCTAGGTTTGTTTTGAAACTTACCAAATTTACTTTAGTTCATCGCATATATACGTGTGATTGATCTATCTACGCATTAAAAAGGAAATTTATTTCGTTTTCCCAGCGTAAAAGACAACACAGTCAGTCGTCCTTTTGCATTTCAAATAGAAACAAGAGGATTTCTGACAGTTCAGCATTACTCGGTAGGATGTCAGCTAGCTAACTTTACTTATGCGACATGAAGATACTCACAGACGAATAAGTTAATAAAGTTTAGAATTTATCATGGGATTCTAGAAACTCTAGAATACACAGATAGTTTTTCGAATCAAAATTTCAAAATAGGGCCTTATCTATTCAGTAGCTTGTTATCAACCAAAATGTAATTTTGACAGCAACCAAGTATGGACCAGATCAATAGTATCAGAAACTGTAATCTTACAAAAGATGTATCTATTGGTCTAAAAAATGATATTTTAAATTTGCTTTATGCTTCCGTTAGTCTGGAGTAAATTCATCCAAGTAAACCCAATTTACAAGCGTGTTTAGTTACTTTTTTCCATTTAAATCAGCTTGCTGTCTTGGATGGAGACCAGACCTACTACTCATAGACTTAATCAGTAGTTGCAAGAATGATATGATGATTTAAAATGAAATATTCACTTGTCGAAATGAATTGAGAGACGAAAATATGAATCACGAAGAAAATATAGATTTACAGGCAAACTCTTCTGATGAGCATTATTAAGTACGAAAACTCGTCTGAAGAATTTTCTTCAGTTTGACTTGTAACTCTGTTGAAATTTACCCAGATACACACACCCACAAACAACTGAAGACAAGAAAAAATTCTACTGTGTTCATCTTGCTATTGAAGTTAACAATACTTTTACATGACAGCGTAGGAATTCAAGGATTATAGATCAGCAAAGCTTATAACATGTCAAGAGTAAATTGGTGGATGGTGACTAGCAGTGGAATCCAGGATGCGCATTTCGTCCTATTTGGGACTCGTCATATGGATGTACCTGCATTCCCCAGTGAGTGATGATGTTCCCACCGAGGCTCAAACCCAGTGCCCATAGTTTCAAACGCCAAAGCGTTATCCACTAGACCACTTGGGCCACGAGAGCCACCTCTTGTGCGCATCCTGGATTCCACTACTAGTCACCATCCACCAATTAAAGTCTAATTACATGCCTAGACATCGTCGAAGCATCTGCACAAGAAGCCGACATGTCATGAAAGACATGAGACCAAGCACTTTGGTCCAATCAATCGACGGGAAAACCTAAAATTCAGTTAAATTTTATTTGAATACAATTTTCCTCATTAATTGATTTTATTTCTTTTTTTATTTCACACAGTGAAGAAGGGATACACCAAGTAATATGATGTCAACAGAATGTACAACACTGGAATCCTCAACTCCTTCTCAACCTTATTCTTCCAGTAAAATGTTTACATGTGATCATCAGAACAGTGTGATTAACAATTCCTATGCATCTGCAAACACACTAATTAAAAATTTCCCATTTCCTACTTTTACTACTCCGGCTACGACTAGTGCTACTACTAATAATTTCCTATCATCATTGAATTCAACAATAACAACATCTGCCTTTCTACCTGTAACTCCATCATCGACACTATCATCCGCAACAGACAAAAAATTATCGAATATAGAAATCAGTCAAGAAAAAGACATAAACAGCGGAAATTTTCACCTAGCCCCACAAGATTCGTATCCCAGTGAATGTAAATCATCCTCATCATATCTATCAAATCAACAAATTAATTCGTGTAAATATACCTTACCAATAAGAGAAATGTCGATTTCACCTAATCCATTTATTAATAAAATGAATACTACAGATGTAATTAAATCGCATCATTCACTTCGATCAGTTACAACAACAACAACAACAACTAAACGAGTAAAAGATCATCAAACTGTTTATCATAAATTCACTAAACATTGTACTGGATGTAATCAACCTATCTTAGAGAAACTTTATCTTGGATTATCAGATGGACAATTATGGCATATGAATTGTTTAATTTGTTATACATGTGGAAAGTGTTTAGATAAAGAAATTAGTTGTTTTAATCGATATGGACAAATTTATTGTAGAAAAGATTATGAACAGTAAGTGGATTTCTTTTTGTAATTGTTTTTAAATGCAGTTTGCACTTTTCTGTTGATTGATTGATTGAGCTGACATGCTCTGTCTCAGGTTGACATTTCGACCCAAGTAGTAGTCTAGTGGATAATGCTTTGGCGTTTGAAACTATGGGTACCGGGTTTGAGTCCCAGTGGGAGAGCCATTACTCACTGAATGGGTGGTACAGGTACATCCAGATGACGAGCCCCGAGTGTGGGACAGAATGTTCATCTAGCAGTTCACTGCTAGTCACCATCCACCAATAGGTTTTTTTGTAGTTTTTCTCTCTCTTCAAAATAATGGTAATGATAATAATACTTTCATTTGTGTTACTACTTAACTCTTGTAATGAGTAGTTCAATGCATTTTTGTGTAAATATCACTCAATCATTATGTTTGTCTTCTAACAGAATTATGTAAAGAAGACAGATTTTATACCCATTTTATTAGGAATTTTGTGAAGTTTCTTATTATGCTAATTTCAGTAAATACGAATTCAGGTTAGATCATGAACTAACATCAAAAACCAGGGAGTATTGAAGAGTCGTCCTGTCCTACTCTCAGACTCTTCAGCATTATGCACCAACTCAGGACCTTCGGGTTGCAAGATAAGTCTGTTGAGCATTCAGTAAATGAGACGGAATTAGTCGTTAATGAACAATAGATTACGAACTCCATATGCATACTTATACTTCCATAGACAGAATAATAAGAGTACTGGAATAAAAATTTATAACTAATTAAGAAATTGATTGTTGGATGAGTATTATGTGTCTAGGATCTGTACCAGACAAAATTTCTTAATCCACTAATTAAGATCATAGGTGACAGTATACAGTGAGTGCTGCTGTCAACTTAATAAAATTCAGCATAAATATAAATTTAAATTAAATTTTATTATAGCTTGATTCCACACAGTATTTCCAGCAAGTGGTGTCGGTAGCCCAAATTTAGCAGGCCGACCATTGATAGCAGATGTGCGTTGACCGGGGATCGAACCCCGACCCATGTGCATGGTTGGCAAGCGTCCTAACCACTGTGCGACTGACACACAGTGATCTGCAGAACAGAAAGCACTAGGTCACCATCAAATCCTAAAGATACCAGTTCCTTAAATAATCGATTTTATTCAACACAACTGTTTTCATTATTCCCTGAATCATACCGAATTGTCTAGTGATTTGTATAAGTTGTTCTCTGAACGGCTAATTAAATTTGGCATATAATTAAAATCCACAGGTTTTGTAGAAAATTGAATAATATTTAATGACCGTCAACCTCAATTTTACTATTAATAAGAGTGTTACATTTATTAAAAGTAAAGATAAATAAATAAATGCAGTCTAAAAGTGCTACACATAGTGAGGCATGATACTAATTACTGATTAAAAAAGCCATTTATGGTAAGACAATTAGTCACCCGTGTTCCAGGCATGGCTCAACAAATACCAAGCTTTTGAACTCAGAAAATAACACACCCATTTACACACTTTGATAATGAACGGTTAGTTACATAATAAGCATTGGCAGGTCAAATGGGTTTCCAATGGAAACTAAAACTTTGTTAACTGTAGGATCTTCTTATAACTTATCTGGCGAAACATTATAACTGTGACACAAGACTGACAGTTCAACTTCTGTTGCAATTTATTTATATTTATTTCAAAGTAAGTCGTTATAATCTTCAACAGTCTGACATTAATTTGTAAGAGTTAAGACCATCTCGAATGCTTTTAACATGGAAAATGTTTGTTTGATAAAATGATGTAAAGAAGCAATATGAAATCCCCAGTCAGGGGTCATTCGAACTTTGAGTAAATTTTCTACTGATTTATTTGATTCCTCAGTTGTGAAAACTTGAATTTTGACGTTAATTTCATTTTTTAGGTATTTGATACTTGTTACCTTTGAAATCTAGTATGCATGGCTAATTTTGCTTTAAAATCACTGGGCGGATTTATCCGCACTAATGCTCGTTAGAGTCATCTATCGTTTTATGAGTTAGAGAAATGTCTCTGGTAGGTGTATATTGCTGAATAACCTTGAACTAGGACGAAACAGTCATCAAGTTCTCTCTGGTTTTCAGTGATCCTTTAACTGATTTCGGTATATGACAGTATTTACGTTGAAATAAATTGAATCCCTACAGCTCAACACTTGAAAATATCCAAAAAGCTACGGAATTGTGATACTGGTCACCAAAATAAATAACACTGTTTTATTGTTGACTTATTTTTTAGCACTGATGTTCTTTGAAATTTTGACAAATGACTTAAAGTTCATTACTAATCATTGTGATATATCAGTGCGACTCAAACTCAGCACCGATTTCTTCAAACGTTAAAGAGTTACTGACTCAGTTACTGAGTGGCTTTACTTTCAACATAAAGTTGGAGAACATAATTATCTTATTACCTAATCAACTAATACTGATGTACTGGTATAATAAAGCCCATACTCAATGAGTCACAACTTCACTTATTGACACCATGTCTGATAACAAAAACGACACTTATTATCAATACGAATGCTTTTTCGGGACGGTTTGCATCCTTGACGGATATAGCCTAATAAACTGCAAGAGCATTAACAATGTTGAATAAGGACACAATATAGAGTCACTCGTAGGAGATTCAAGTGTTACAAGCACCTTACAGCTGTTTGTATTCCTTGGCCTTAATCTAGTGTCATTAGTGGAGGGTATACCTATCTAACCATGAAATGAGTCGTCCCGCTGACCATTTCCTTTCATTAGTACTTTAAAGGCTCCATGTCCGTCATTCATTGCAAATTCCAAAATATAACGCAATACTTAATCAGTATTACCGTCTTTTCGAAAAAGATTCACCACAAATGTATTGAATCTTTATGATTTATAAAGTGTTTTGCCCAGTACTGCGCAATCATCATCTCCCACCAGGAGTCGAACTTAGTTCTTCTGTGAAGTTGTGACCATTGGGACCCAATAAGTCAAATGTGAGGATAGATGTCTTGAGATGACATTGGCTGATAGTGGCGCAGCCTAGAACTTGTGAGTCATTGGATTCAACCGCAGTGACTGAATAGTTAACGGACTCATCTCACAACCTAAAAGTTGTAGGTTTGATCCCCTACAGAATGATGGGTAAGTACGACTGAAGGGCAGCAAACTGGGATGAAACGGCCGTTTTCAGTGGTTGTCTAACTGATGTTACTTATTGATCTAGCTTGAAATCAATGAAATCTCTGCAAACCAACACTTGATAATACCTTTTTATGGACTAAACTAACTCATGATGAAATCCTCCATGCAATCAAACAAAATCCCTACAGAACCAATACTTGAAAATTAATCTGATGCTCACTAGCGACTGGCCCTATTCAGGCAGTTAACCTGGGGTTCTAGTGGGAAGTCGTGACCAGTAGGGTACAACAGGTTGAAGATGAGGTAGTAATTCATCGAAGAAGACATTGCGAAATGGTAGCGCTATGTCGTGAATTGGCAGAAGTTAGAATTCAAGGACCATTGGATTGGGTCCCAGTTGCTCAATGGCCTACGAGCTTGCCTTGTAACCAGAAGGTCCTGAGTTCGAACTCTGCTGAAGAGCCCCAAAACTAGGACGAAACAGCTGTTCAGTACTCACAGGTTTTCCAGTGGTTCTTTAACTGATGTCAGCTCGTGATGAAATCCTCCATGCAATTAAACTAACTGTAACAGTATTCTTAAATTCACCATACTTGCAAAAGAAAGGAATGGAATGACAAGTTCTGTAGTGAACAGAGGGGCAGTAATAACCTTTTGACAATAGTACTAGTAATAAATCCTAAATCATAGCAAGTTTATAAGTCATGAATTCATTTTTTTGAATGTTAAAGTTTTTATGAATAAAGATGTCCGAATATGTTTTCTTATGAGGTTGTATGCTTGCACTACTGTGAAAAGCACCAAAGCACTAGAGTGAATTAGGTATGTACTACTCCATTGGCTTTCATTGATTCTTTTAGGGTGGGTGACTTTGAATTCATACATCTTTCTTCAACCATTCTTGTTTTATGAATATAAATATTTAAGTAATGTGAGTTTATATTTCTTAATCTCTCTACAAACGCGTTACAGTTAGCACTGTTGGTAGTAAGAAATTACGAAATTATATCACACTGCAGTATTTGCCTTCTGGGCATCTTATTTGAAAAGAAAAAAACTTTCCATACTTCTAAAAAGACTACAGGTCTGTAACTGATACACTTTCCAGATTTTGTCCTATCAATAAGAAAGGAATGAGTTGCACAGACATAATACATAATTAATCGTTTTATCGATTGTGTTGAATGAAGTAAAGCCGAATAATAAAGTGTATCATGCGCTGGTGGAACAGTGGAAGAGTGCTCGCCGACCACGCAGGTGGTCCGAGGTTCGATCCCCGGCCGACACACTCCTTTACCTCGCTAAACCGGTAATAAGACTGGTAAAGAAGGAAGGTTGGGCATAAGGCTAGTAACCCCATCCTGTAAAAATAATCACCACTGCTACAGAAACTTCAAGCCTCTAGCTTGAAGCCCCATGTTCCCCTAGGAACGTAAAGGAATGAAAAAAATAAAGTGTATCAGATGTATAAGCAGGCAAAATTTGTGGCAGAATGACTTTTAAGAAGAAGTCTATAAGTGAATAAAGTTTGAAAAATTCGCCTATTTTAACTATTTTATTGATTGAGTTGAAATCCTTCCATTCCTTCAGATATCTCTTCTTTTATCCTCAAAATATTATTCACTCACGGAAAATTCCCTCAAGGTCATAAAAACACAAAGTGATGATTTATTCCTAAAAATATAATATTACGTAATAGTGAAAGATTCTGAACAATAAGTCAAACTTAGAGAACGTTTGTTTTTGTTTCGTTTTTCCTGAGTTGTGTGGTCTCATTTCTAAGCTTTCATTATCTTCCTGGACAACATAGTCAGTACTAACTTCAAAATGAAGTCAGCTCTCAAAAGTCTGTGTGAATGA